TGAACCCATCTGAGACGGATTAGCTTTGGGCCAGAGGAAATTTCTCCTTAGTTCTAGGTTGCTTCACTCCTTGATCACTTATCCCTCCTTGATGAGTTTCATCCGTTGCTTCAGGTGTTTTGGAAACTAGGTTGGCCCCCTCTTCATTTTGTTCATGGCAAAATTAATTAATTTTCATATCCTTAATACAACTCACATTATGAACTCACCCCTATCATGGGAAAGTTTGAAGGGAAAAGGTGTGGTCATTGTATTGTTCCTTTTTATAGTTGCTGTAAGGTGGGGGACTTGTTGTGTGTTGTGGCCAAAAATGTCATAGCCTACCCAAATGCTATGTGAAGATATATTTTCTTTGGTTTATTGAAACTCTCCTGCATTTCCTCCTTTGTGGGATAACTCTGAGCATTAATTGATAGTGGGTTTCCGTTTTTCCCTACATCACCCCTAGATATGCAGCAGCTGCCAAAAAAACGCCAACACAGCCCTAGGCTGCATAAACAGAGGGATAGAATCAAGATCACGGGAAGTGTTAATATCACTTTATAATGCCTTGGTAAGGCCACACTTGGAATACTGCATTCAGTTTTGGTCGCCACAATGTAGAAAAGATGTGGAGACTCTAGAAAGAGTGCAGAGAAGGGCAACAAAGATGGTTAGGGGACTGGAGACCAAAACATATGAAGAACGGTTGCTGGAATTGGGTATGTCTAGTTTAATGAAAAGAAAGACTAGGAGAGACAGGATAGCCGTCTTCCAATATCTCAGGTGCTGCCACAAAGAAGAGGGAGTCAAACTATTCTCCAAAGCACCTGAGGGTAGAACAAGAAGCAATGGGTGGAAACTAATCAAGGAGAGAAGCAACTTAGAACTAAGGAGAAATTTCCTGACAGAACAATTAGTCCGTGGAACAACTTGCCTCCAGAAGTTGTGAATGCTCCAACACTGGAAGTTTTTAAGAAGAGATTGGATAACCATTTGTTTGAAGTGGTATAGGGTTTCCTGCCTAAGCAAGGGACCTTCAAGGGTCCCTTCCAACTCTGTTATTCTATTCTATTCTATTCTATTATGCAACATTTTATACGTATCCCATGATTTAGTTGCAGGCTAATGTTCCACAATGTCAGCCAAAAACAAACCAGTAATGCAGAATGGAAGCCGCAAGGTAAGTTGTCCCAACATGGGACCCTCCTTTTGATAATAAAGCTATAATTATCACTCTCAAAATGGCTAAAACAAATTCATTAACATCAGCAAATGTCTGGTGAGACACCATTTATACTACTGGTGAATAATGTCTTTTTAAAAAGTCATTTAGTCAACAGGTTAAGGGGGCCTGATCCAGTTCTGCAGGCTAAAGCAAATTTTAATTTTGGATGAATTAGATACTATGTCTGCTATTTATTATTTCAAAAAAGCCATTGATGTGGTGTTTCATCATTATTTCATTGGAAACACCGCAACCCAGGCCACTGTTACAGAAAAGAGTTTGGATTGGAAATAATGTGAAACGACTTTGAGTCTTTATTGATTAGCCCTTGGGCCATATCGAAGCGCAAAGTTCCAATTGATTACCAAAATTTGATAAAAAGCAATTTTAAATGGAATTTGATTAAATATAATTTTAAATGAAATTGGAATAAAATACGGTTTTAAATGAAATTGGAATAGACTACGATGATTTAAGATATAGATAAAATATGATAAAAATTTCATTTCGGTATCACCCCTGCAATCTACCCCAATCAGTCCCACATATGCCAATCTCAACCGAACCATTTTGCTTAAATATTGTGCTGTGTTAAATGTTATTTTCCAGTTCTGGCTGCACATTAGGTAAGTTGTTTTGATATGGAGATCCCAATGGGTCCTTCGTTTGGTACATAGACCAAGATACCGATCTCTCATCCTCTTATACAGGCCCCAATCAAATGGGATGTGAGCCAGGTCTTCTACCTCTGCTGGTGAAATGACAAAAGAAAAGATTCCCTAGCCTAAATGTCAAGCCCCACGAATATTTATATTCCTTTTTCATGTTATAATGTACAAGTAGTCCTTGACTGCAAGGGATTATGGGGTCATTAAAAGAAAATGATGACTATAATCAGTGATGGGTTTCAAAAATTTTTAGAACCTCTTCTGTAGGTGTGGCCTGCTTCGTGGGAGTGGCTTGCCGGCCATGTGACCAGGTGGGAGTGGCCTGGCAGTCATGTGACTGGGTGGGCGTGACCAAGTTATAAAATGTGGTGAAACTCACTTAGCAACGCTCTTGCTTAGCAACCAAAATGTTGGCTCAGAAACTCTGGNTCACCAGGCTCAAGGTTGGCTCAGCCTTCCGTCCTTCCCAGGTGAGTCAAATGAGGAGCCAGATTGTTGGGGGCAAGAGGCTGGCTCTGTACACCGCTTAGAGAGGGCTGTAAACAGCGGTAGGCTGCTACAGGTTTGCCCTGCAAGGGATTATGGGGTCGTTAAAAGAAAATGATGACTATAATCAAACGAGAAGCCAGATTGTTGGGGGCAAGAGGCTGGCTCTGTACACCGCTTAGAGAGGGCTGTAAACAGCGGTAGGCTGCTACAGGTTTGCCCAGTTTGTGAGAACCCGTAGCTAACGTTATGGCCAGTTCAGAGAACCTAAAACCCCCACCCCTGGCTGGCCCTCCCTTCCCCACCCCTCCCGGAGTCTCCACGCAGCCTGTTTTGGATGCCAGGTAAGTGCTGGGCCCATGTGGAGGTTTGAGGACGGGGGAAAACAAGCCTCCTGGAAGTTCTGGAAGGCTGGAAATGCCATTTCTGGCTTCCGGGGGAGCCTCTGGAGCCCTGGGGAGCCAGTTTTTGCCCTCCTGAAAGCCCCCGTAACCTGGGGAAGGAGAAAACGCCCTCCGCTGTGGAGCAGGAGGCCAACTAAGTCATGCCCATCATGGCTATGTCCACCCAGCAACCAGGCAGCGAACCCGTTGCTGAAATGTTTGTAGCCCACTCCTGGCTGTAAAGCACTGTGAAGTTTAAGTGCTATTGCTAATGCTATTGATAAGCTTTCGGACTCATGCTGGAGCCAATCCTCAGGGAAATTCTCTCTCTTTCTGCTACAATCCGAAGGCTTGTATACCTCCAGGTCTATGCCAGTGATGGGTTTCAAATTTTTTTAGAACCTCTTCTGTAGGTGTGGCCTGCTTTGTGGGAGTGGCTTGCCAGCCATGTGACTGTGCGGGCGTGGCCAACTTGTAAAATGTGGTGAAACCCACTTAACAACGCTCTTGCTTAGCATCCAAAATGTTGGCTCAGAAACTCTGGCATTTGAAGCACGCAAGTCTTAAAGCTGACAAGTTTACAAGACCCTTGCACCCCTAACCCTTTAGAAAAAAATAATCCCAGGGGTGTTCAAACTTGACAGCTTTAAGACTTGTGGACTTCAACTCCCAGAATTCCTCCTCTCATTCTTCATCTTGATGATGNCTCCTGCACCTCAAAAATAATAAGACCTCCCCGAAAATAAGGCCAAGTGCTTATTTTGGGGGATCAAAAGAAAATAAGACCCTGTCTTATTTTCGAGGAAACACGGTATGTACTGTTTTTCTAAAATAGTCTCATGTCTTACCTTCCATCAGGCCAAACCTTGAGTACAGCTGGTCCTCGACTTATGACAATTGAGCCCAAAATTTATGTTGTTAAGTGAGACATTTGTTGAGTGAGTTTTTTCTCCATTTTACAACCTTTCTTGCCACAATTGTTAAGTGAATCAATGCAGTTGATAAGTTAGCAACAATAAGTTCTTAAATGAATATGGCTTCCCCATTGACTTTGCTTATCAGAAGGTTGTAAGAGGTGATCCTATGACCTCGGGAAACAGCAACACTCATAAATATGAACCAGTTGCCAAGCATCTGATTTTTGATCACATGACCAGGGGGAAGGTCATAAGTCACATTTTTCAGGGCCATTGTAATTTTGAATGGTCACTAAACAAGATGCTGTAAGTTGAGGACTACCTGTATTTAGAGCAGCACAGAAAACTCTTCTGTGATTCTACACACTCCTGATCAATTAGCACTAAAAATAAAAAGTTTTGTTTTAAAAATGCCAACAAGGAATAAATCCGACATTTTATAATACCTGCCAGACTAAAGACTTTTAACAGTCTTTATACCATGAGTTGAGAACGTGTAGTCCAGAAACATCTAAAAAGTTCCTTTTCCTGCTACGTCAAAGCAACATATGGTAGCTAATAATGAGACTGTTGGAACCGCATTTCAGTAAAAAGACACAGGTTCCTCATTCTGTTTTATACTGCAAAATGCACACTAGATTCAAACTCTTCATACTTCTGAATCAATCATTTCACTACAAGTGTGGACAGAATTAGCAATGTATGGAGAAAACCGCTTAAACCCCTTAGCTGCCAAAAGTACTTTAAAAAGTACAGAGACACAAACATGACTTTGCTTAACTGGCAAGCTGACACATTAGGGAAAGCATTACACCGAATCTGACTTAAGGAAGGTTGGTTAGTTGTCAGGTATCCTTTATTCACTTATCTGAGAATAAGCTCCCTCAGTTTAAATTTGAGTAATCTAGGATTAGGCCAAGAATATTTCCTGTAACAGCAAATGCTGCTGAAAATGATAAAAAGAACCAGATGTAAGAATGTCTTCCCTACAATCATTGTGACTTATTAAAAATAATTAGCCACGCAGGATAAGTAAAAAATAAAATGTGTTAACATCTCTCTTAGCCTGATAAAATTATGTAAAAGAATTAGCAGTGGCAGAAAACTGAAAATGCAGGTGTTTAAATATGTTAAGTTTTAGAATACAGATGACAAGCACTTTTCTTCTAAGTTGCTAAGGATGTCTGTTAGTAAGCCCCTGGAAGTCTTGATAATATTTTTTGGATGTGAATAAAGTTAAAGATTGCCCTTCAGGTATTTGAGAATTCTTGACCGAACAGTTTAGAATTAAACTTTCTAAAGTTCTTTCCTATGGCTATTATCTATAAAGTGGCAAACATTTTTCATGCTGCAAGACAATTTTTAATGTGAAAAAGAATTATGCCACTATGTAGTTCTACATTAAAAAAACCAATTATTTTTGTATAATGTATATATAAGTGGTTTATCTTCATTATTTCCAATGAAAGAGTTAATTATAAATCCCTTTGGAAGCATAAAGCATAATAAGTATTGTCATTTACTTAAATACAATGAAATTGGTTATGTATATTGGAAATAAAACCTACAATAATGGTATGTAACAATTATACTAATGAAGTGCCAGTTGTTTCACATATCATCGTTTTTTAGACCCACTGTTACCACTTGTAGGCTTATTAAAGCTCCTACTCATCTGTGGAAAGTGTACAGTTGGGGTTCTTTCATTTGGGCCATACAATCCTAGATTTCTGGCTGCAGCTGATTTTCTGAGTGGCTTGACACTAGGGAAAGGACAAAAGACTTGTGGCTTAGAAGTGCAGGATTTTGCCACTATTCCACTGTCATTGGCTAAACTTGGCAACTCAGAACTGTGTGTTTCATCGTCAGTATCATCTCTACTATTCTGTGTAAGTTCCAAGGTTTCCAACTTCTGCTGGACCTCTGATACGTAGACACTGGAATCATTATCTTTATAAGTTGGTTCAGGAGATTGTCCATCTGTTGAAATGTTCCCATCACCTTCTATAGTTTTAGATTTATTTGCAGTTTCTTTTGTATTAATACTGCTAGCATTCCCGTGTTCGCTCTGTTCCTCTATTAGTCCTATTGTATCTCCGTAGCCCAGGTGGCCTTTGGCTCGCGCTAGGTTCTTTCGATGTACCCTCATGTGAGTGCGCCATGGAGAGTTTAGCTTTGCTTTAATATCTTCATGCGGACCTGGTAACATCTTTCCCCCAGTGTGGCTTGGAACATTGTTTTTGGCAGACTTGCTGGTTTGTTTGATCTTCTTCCCTAGCAAAAGATGGTTGATTACTGGAGAATGGTTCACCTGAGAAGGCATAAGACTGGTAACTGGGCCTTTATCTGAAATTTAAAAAAATGTATTTAAAAGTATGCTGTTGAAAGAGACATGGCAAATAGAAAGACCATTTTCTGATTGTGTTGTAGACACAAAAGTAAAGACTGGTAGGATTTGAAGAAGAGGAATGTTCATTTCATTTACATTCTACATTATTTAAAAAACCAAACCTGAGTCATCTATCTTGCCCAACAAGTAAACACTGCATTATGATTGGCTGCAATTTTATTCATTAAAAAAAATGAGTGCAAAAAATAGAAAATACTATTTTCGGAAAATCCTGAAAGTAATTTTAATTAACATTTCTAAAAATGAAAGGAAAGGTGTTGCATATGGGAAGCAGCCTTGAAACTATTTGTCTCTCTTTCTCTCTCTCTCCCATTTGCAATAACTGGGAGTGACTCTTCAGAATTTTCCTTCTCCTCCCAAAAAATTCCATTCTCTTATGCACTGCTACTGCTGTCACCTATCCCAAAGTAAAGCCACATAAAAATACATTTTTCCTAGCAATGATGATCAGAATAGATGTTAATGTGAAATCTAATATAAATGCTGCAACAATTAATCTATGAATTAAGGTAGGTTTTTTTAAGTCAATGAATAAACACCACAATAATAATTTAAGTAATTATGTTTCCATTACCACTTAGATTAACTAAATCATGTCAATAAGATGCTAGATATCTTTAACTTACATTTATAAAGCACATAGTCAAAAAACCATGTCATACCTCATCTTATGCAATGAAGGTTGATTAATTGAATCTGGTATTCTCAAAGCACATCAAAATGTCAAAAATAATCAATGTAACTAAACTATGTAATTGGAAAAGATTAGTAAAAGGAAGATTTGGCAATCTTGGAAAATGAATTTTTTGTTTTGGTTTGACAATGTAATTGTATTGCATTTCTCAAACTTTTAAAAAGATACTGCCCTGTGACATTCAGATCAACTGTCCTGACCATCCATCCTTACGGACAGAGAAGAGAGCAAGATACAGCATGCAAACACTTTCATTATTGCACCAGTGCAGGAGGTTATCGCAGGAGGGTAAGTGAAAATGCAAGGCCTCCATTGTTAATCCCACAGACAATATGACCATTAACTATTTCAATTTATTCTAACTGAAGCACTGTATAAGCCTGTGAAAAAAAACATGTTTACCTATATATAAACTTACAGGATTTAGATCAAAAGTCTTTATACACTAAATCAATTTATTCTTGTAATGCTTCAGTAGTTCAGGCTGCTGCTTAGTATCTAGTTAGGTTTTTAGAAATTTGTATTCCAAATCCAAGGATGCCAGAAGTGTTAGTGAAATCAATACTAAAGACCCTGGAACCCAAATAGCACAGATATCTTTAAATACCATTATTCAGCTGGTCCCTGGGATCTAAAACTATCCCAAGGTCATCATCTTCAGACCCTAACAAAAGAAAAACAAAGATTATAAACTCTTTTATAAGTATCTTTTCACCATCAGATGAGATTATTTCAGTCACGCTGACAGATCTCATTTTTTTTCCTCTTCTTCTTACACACTGTAAACTAAACTGAATACAACTGTGATTTGCTTCTTAATACAAGTACAACTTGAACTAATAATTCCTTCCAATTATTAATTTACCTGCTGTAATATACACATGATGAACCTGCTGTTGCTGCTTCTTTTTTATCCGAGAATACTGTCTTTTCAATGCATTGATATCAGTTGTCATACGTTCCATCATCATACTGTTAAAAGCTGCATGATATTCATTTCGGCAAGCATTTATTGCACCGGGACTTAGTTCTGCAATGTTACTCGAGCCTAAACTGTGTTCTTGATTATGGTCTGGGAAAACATTAGAAATATATCAGCCAGCTCACAATGAAACAGTTGAAGCTACCACTTCCACTTAACTGAATTAGAAAACTTAAAAGTCCTACATACAGAAATGGTTTAGAATCAAAACCTGTAAATACCTTGAAAAAGTACTGCTTTAGTAGTGATAAATACTTGGCTGAGGGTAACAGGTTATTTTAGAATGTAGCATACAGTCAGCCATGGAAAGATACTGATAAAAAAACCAATTCCTTAATGAACTCATAAGATCCAATCATCATATCATATGACTGTAGGTGGGGACTTCTCAACCGAAGATCTTTTTTTCTATTTAAAATACTATTTTCAGTGTCTGTAAACTGTGATGGTCAGGCTGGCCTTATAATGTCACTTGCAGGGCTGGGGTTTGTATTTTTGTAGTCTTTGGGGAAAGATACCTCTTGCAATACCTTTCAATGAATTTGCAAACAAAAGCTTTATTACAGCCAAAAGCAATATGCTGTTTATGCAATATCAATAGAAATGAAGGCACAGTTAGAGACCTTGCTTCAGTTTTTCGATGTTTTCCTGGCAAATTCCAATAGAGCAATGGCAGAGGAACTAGGAGATGCAAAAAGTAAAGTTCAGGGGCCACATTTTGATTTCTATATTGTCTAACCCTTGCCATAGATGCTAGACACATCACATCATTGTCTTAAAGGCCGCATAACTGCAGTGACTTTTTATTTGGATATTTGATTTGGATACCTGCCTCCCAACAGCGTTGCAGCAGCCCTCCCCTCGCTCCTCGAGTCGGTAGCCGAGCTGGCA